TTCTTTCTTTCTTTCTTTCTTTCTTTCTTTCTTTCTTTCTTTCTTTCTTTCTTTCTTTCAATTCCATTAACTTTATCTGTTTTTCTCTCTCTTATCCTAAATAGTTTTAGTCTCTTTTCCTTTTTTACCATTTCAATGTATTTTTTCCCTTCGTTTCTATTTTTCATTTTTCTTTATCGAGGACCGCTGACCCGCAACCCGCAGATTCACCTCCATTAACCGCATTCCTTCATGTAACAAAATGCCGGAAGTCAAACAATCTTATAGTCATGAGACGACGGTGTTGTCGACCTATTCGAAGCAAAAAAAAGCTCTCATTATGCATAGTTTTTTATTCCTGATCATTTACATCTTATATGGATTCCTTGACAGTATTAACCGAACTGTACCTCAAGGGATATCGCTAATATGGCAGAAGGAATGGAGTTGCCAAGCGCTACATGCTCGTCGTAAAATCATTACTAGACTTGTGAGTAGATAGATAGAGTGCACCAATATATCCGTGTAAATTTTTGTAAGAAATCGCACAAATAAGTAAGTTCAGTAGACCTCAGTAGATCGTAGACCTACAAAACTTTGCACTAATTTGTACAGTTTTGGTAGTTAACTTTTTCACAGATATATGGTTTGCACTGCACCTTTTATATTTGAGTTTTATTGGAGTATGTAATGCGTGGTATACAGACGTTATTTATAGCACGGAGGTTTAGTTTATTAAGTAATAGTTTATAGTACTTGAGAAGGAAATGAATAAATACGTGGAATATGTGAGTATACAGGTTACCTCGCTGTGCGAACATCCTGGACCGGAAGTAGCTATTTTTCTATTTTATGTGCCGTGAAGCCATTTTAATGCTATATAGGGATTTGTGAAGCAGTGATGTGTAAACTGACAATACATTTCGATGTAACAAGGAGAAGCCATTTCGATGTTACGTTGCTTGCGAACCCATTATGATGTTACGCGCCGAGAGTATGACTGAAACTCATTAGTATCATGCAACCAAAATTCCTGCAACCCCCTCATCAATTATCTAATGGTACATCCCTAATACAATGGCAAGCCACTTCGTTGTTTATCACGATGTTTAGTATAATCCATGCTTAAAGTCACTGCCGTAATTGATGCATTCCGGTATGAAAATGGAAAGCCACTTCAATGTTACGACGCTTAGTAAAGTCCTACCGTTGCGTTTCCGGCTGACGTAATAAGACCCCACTTTCCTGACACCGYCGAGGTCATGCTATTTCTCTCAAAGTGGGTGTACGTAAATTCTCACGGAAAGACAGTCATTGCCTGTGAGGGAGGTGGGTGTGTGGGCAAGATTAATGTAAATGCCAACATTTTGGAAGTGGGAAGGGGAGAATTGGGGTGGCAGGACTCAAAAGAATTGTTCTTGGGGTAACCTAGGTAGGGGAGGGGAAGGGGAAAGTTGCCCTCCCTTTTTTCCTTTCCTCCACCTTCCTAAATCCCTGCTTTGAAGGCTATGCTTGAGGAGGATTTTTTTATATTCAATGATAAAAGTGTTGGCTTCCTTTCAATTCAAAATAAATGAAGGATTTTGGTAAATTGGGCCTTAGGGTTTACTTGGGAGGAGGGTGATCCATCRGCTAGGATCTTCCTTGCAGGCGAAATAACTTTTGCATTTAGTTTACAYGAGAACAGTACGAAGCAAAAGGGCCATAATTACTCACATTCACACCACAGAAGTCCCAAGATAAATATCCCTTAGCCCTAGTAGGCAAGTTATCTCTCCTTTTTCGTTTACATGTGTTTTGCTAGAGTCAAACACAATCCTAGTACTTTATAGGATCTTCCTATCTTTCAGACAGGAGGATCCTAGTACCCGAAAGAAGTCCTCAGATTCCCATGTAAACGCAATGTAATAAATGTATGCAGATAGGATAATTCACCTGCAGGGAAAATCTTAGCTGTTGGATCATCCTCCTCCCATTTAAACAGGGCCTTACTGACACTGCTGCTATGTTGACTGGAGTAAATTCTATCATTCATAGCCTCGCATTCAATTCATCATCATCATCATTATGATGCTTCATCATCTAGCATCATCGTGAATCAACATCATACATCATCATCATTATGTATTGTCATTATCTATGTGTATCATCATCATCATGCTTCATCATCATCATGTATCATAATCATCATCATCATGCATCATCAT